AGTAGTGTGTGTGTGTGTGTGTGTGTGTGTGTGTGTGTGTGTGTGTGTGTGTGCGTGTGTGTGTATATGCGTGCATGCGTGTGTGTGACGTGTCCAAGAAAAAAAGAAAAAAAAGAAAAAAATTATACTAGTACATATTTAAAAATAAGGTCAAAGGGTCAAGATTCTGATTTTGGTAATCGACAATCTTATTGTGTCGATATCGTCAAAAAGTGCTAAACCCTCTCTGGCAGAACACTGACATTTCTTATGCATTTGATCTACCACCCTCCACCCACTTGAACTAATAAATCCCAAAATATTAGTAGATCAAGGCTAAGTTATGATGTATTGAAAATGCTTTTATTGTAATGGGGCAGAGAATTTCACTACCTCCCGAGTTAAGTGTTTTGCCATAATACAGAGTTGAGAGTTCGTGTCACAAATTATTGTGTTTGCAGAAAATCGCATCTGGCTTCGTCCAACCTAAATTAGTATTAAATAAAAACACATTTAGACAAACAACATTGTTTAACTGACCTGTCGGCGGCTTGGCGAAGGGGATGCCGAGAAAAATGTCGACGACCGAGTCGTCTTGCAGCTTTGCCGAGAATCCTCGGAGCTCTCCTAAACTTGTGTTTGCGATCACGTAGTCACCATTGTTCGCTGCATCTTCTATCAGCGCCTCAGTCTCTCCCATCAACACTTGAAACAGGAACACTGCGATATACACAGGATGAGCGCAATTCATGATCACACTTTGAGACCAAACAGTTGGAGTAGCTTGCGCGAACCTTCCGTGGATATGCCTATAACAAAATAATACACTACCCTGCTTCTACTACTGTCAGCCCCACACTGCTTGATTACACATGAAAGAGCTTATCACGGCTATTGTTTACAAAGTTGCAAACAAGGATAAATATTTGTTGACGAATTGTGAGTGGACAACCTTCTCAAATCACCGATTTCAATTTCATTAGGGCAGTGAAAGCTCCCGGCTAACACTAACATGAAATGACGGAAGATGGACCTGGAATTCCGCACATTTGCGACTGCTGGTCCAGTTGGGTTGGTCCACCTCCACCCCCCCCCCCCCTGCGTGCCTCCACACTCAAACACACTCAGTGGTGTGTGGGGTCCTATCTTATCATCACATTGCCATAGAGCTGTTTGTTGAGTCCCCCTTTTCACCTTTAGCGTGATTTCCTTGACACTCTGTGACGGAAAGAGATAATAATGCCATGTCCTTTGGGAGACAAGCAGACAGATAGACAGACGGCTAGACAGATGGTTTTCAACTTTTACTATTAGTATTATGTTACGTAGTCACGTCGCCTACAAAGACCAAGCACTTGTCAAATCCCTTACGAGTGCTTTACTTTGGTCACAACATTGATGATATTCTTTTTACCACACAAAAAAAGATTGAGAACTCTTGATGGGTGGCTAGATCCAACGTTCACGAGCTCTGTGCGTGGAGAAAGACTTAGGTTACAATCTGAGGCGGTTTGTTAACTGGTCAAATTTTTGTTGGTCAACTGGACTGTTGACATGAGATTTATTGATGATGATGATTTTCATTCAGTTTTAAGTAAATCCAAACAAACATGTATCAACTTTCAAAAAGCACCTTGCCGATTTGAAGGCGCTCAAATAGACAAGTGGGGTTCACTGCTGTTTTGTCGCGTTACACGGCCTCATTCCTTCACGTTTGTTTATCACGCCGGCTCCCAACTGTAAAATCGTCTCCCGTCACATCGCGGAACTTCATTCGAGGACAAACCGAACACAGCGGGCTCAGCGATGACGTCAGTCCGCTGGGCAAATCCATCGACTGCCCTCAGAGCGAATAGACCATGCCTTACTTGCCAAATTGGCCTCTGTGTAGCTTACAAAATTAAGAATGAGACGGTCTTGAGCAGCACAGACACATGTATTATTTTATCAGCAATACATGTTTTTATCATTCAGCCTTTCTGTAACTTACCAAAACATTTATTGCCAATATGGTTCTAATCTTTTTCGTTTATTGAATTTTTAGCCACCTATAGTTCCTGTTTGTTATTTATTCATCGCTTTCTCCCCACTAATAACTTTCCTGGCCTATATGAGTCGTGCCGGCGAAAAGAGTTGAGAGATATAGGGAGAATTACATGTATAACGAGGAGCGATAGGCACTCGGCTGTTAGAGTCTGGGCCGAAAACAGTCAGGCCTACCCCCTCCCTTCCCTCCCCCTTTCCACCGTCACCCCAGCATGACACCAAGTTCTATAATTAGCATTTGACACTCTTCCCCACTTTGTTACAACAGTGTTCTGAGAACTGAGAAGTGCTATGAAGAACGTTTGATTATATAACGATTGGAAACTGTTGTGTGCTTTGTCCAGCTTTGTACAGTATCTGATTGTAGAGTTGATCTTCATGGGACAGCGGCACTGGTACAATTGACTTTATGTCATCATACACTTTCAGTTTGTTTTCTAGCGTAGTTGTATTTCTTTTTCTGTGCCGATCAAGTCAGTTTCTATTAATCTCAGTAACTTTCATCTTACATTATTCATAATGTTGTCTCTTGACTCTACCATATTTGAGCTCTTTCACATTATATTATAATGTTTACAGTGGTGTGTGTATGAGTCGGGGAGGGGTGGGGATGGCGAAAGTAGGGCTATAAAATGAGGAGAGAGAGTGAGAGAGAGAGAGAGA